TTATACGAATTCAAGATAAATTGAATAAAAACATTTAGACAATTTCGACATACTTTATGCCGACCAAACTCCATGTCTAACAAAATGTAGAAAATGACAGTATTATAGCCTCATCCACATGCAAAAGATAGTTTAAAATAATGGAAGATCAAAAAAATAAAAAAAGGAAAAAAAAAAAGAAACAACACACAATAACATCTGCTATGAACAAGACCACTATGTGCTGTTCGTCATTTGAAAATAAAATAAAAATAAATATTTATATCAATCTAGAAACATATACAGGGTGATTGAAAAGTAACTCAATAATTTTGTATGAGTGATTTTTTTTCTTTGGGGTTGATTAAAGAAACAAGTCTAATGTACCAAACCAAGACTTTGGAAGAACCCAAAGGGTAAACTCAAGAAGACATGTCTTCCATGACACAAGAATTTCTGGTGAAATCAATTGATGCGATTCCTGAGAAACAGGAAGCGAAATCTGGTGCCCATATCGAAATTTAAATAAAGCCTCATGTTAAACGCTTTTCCTTTCATGCCAAAATCAAGCAACTGCACAAATATAACTATCCGAGAAATGTTTCCACAGAAGACGGAATGTGTGACACCGAGATCCGAAGACGCATTGGGATGGCCAAATATCTATTCCAAAAGCCAAGCGGAGTATTACAAGACAGAAAAAAAAGATAATCAGAATCCAAAAAAAAAGGAGAACGTTAATGTTACGTGATATATGTCCTCTTGCATGGCAGTGTTGGCGAGACGATCTCCTCGAAGATGGAGAAGCAATTGGAAGAAACACAAACGTGGTTCTACAGAAGTATGCTGAGGATAACTTGGAACGAACAAGTAAAAAACAATTAGAAGAAAATTAGAAAAAAAAAGGACTGTTAAACATAATATCAGGAAGAGAATGTTGAAAATTCTTGTGTACATAATTGTTATGGGATCTTACCAATAATAATAATAATGGACTATTCCATATTTAATAAATACAGCGCCTCAGGAGTAGACAGGGAGTCAGTCAGCAGTTCACTTTTGAATAGACTGTTCGGTTAAACTCTCTTCCTACGGGCGGGAGGAACCCGAAGGAGGCTGCGCCGAAGGGCGGAGTCTCCTTCGGGAGGTAAACCGGCCCTGGACCCGTTTATACGGGTTCCCAGAACACGTTTATAAAGGCCTTGTGGGTTCAAATGTCAGTCAGCAGTTCACTTTTTTTGAATAGACTGTTCGGTTAAACTCTCTTCCTACGGGCGGAGGAACCTGAATGAGGCTACGCCGAAGGGTGGAGTCTCCTTCGGGAATAAAACCGGCCCAGAACACGTTTATAAAATGGGCTATTTTTTGCCGAGCCTAATGGCTCGGAATACCCCTTAAAAAGTTGACACCCTCGGGGGGGGGACTGAATATCGTCAGTCGAACAGACTGCTCGGTTTGAACTCTCTTCCTACGGGCCTGACCGACTGTTCGGTTCCTTCGGGGGAATCTCCCTGCCTTCGGGTTCAAATGGAACCCGAACGAATGCCCACGTTAAAAGCTACCCCTCGGGGGGCGGAGTCTCGTTCACTTCCTGGACTGTTCCGGTTGGAATCTCCGTCCTGAACCCGGTTATACGGGTTCAATGGGGAGGTAACTATTTTGAACGCCGGGTTCAATGCCCACGGGCCCACGGGCTCGGAGAACCCACAATAAATAATCGACCTTGTGTCACATGATGCCCCAGTAGGGAGTGGGGTGACTGAATATCGTCAGTCGCTCACTTCTGAATCGACTGTTCGGTTGAACTCTCTGCCTTCTGTCTATTGTCTGTGAGATATGTGTATTAAGCGAGAACGGAGTTTCATTTCGTCTTGCATAAAACGACGGTCGTGGTGAAGCAGTAGTGTCTGCAGTAACAATTCGCCTTGTCTTTCCCCGTAGAAAATTATTTTCTTTATTGTGAAAATGAACGGGGAACCATAGACTCTCTTTCTCTTTTTATATAGAAATATTGTAGGACATTGTTACTTTTTTCCGTTTTACATTCGGAAATATGTACAATAAACAAAGACCAAAGTGATTTATGTTTTATTTACACCTGCGTTGGAAGATAAGCATGTGGAAACACAGCAAGACGCACGTCTACATACAAAGAGAGAGAGAGAGAGAGAGAGAGAGAGAGGGTGGAAGAGAAAGAATGTGTGGGTGGGGGTGGGGAGACAATACAAACAGAGACACAAGGTTCCTATTTGGATTCTTGTATTAAATGATACATGTTTTGATGGAGGTAAATACATTTACAAGCACAGCAAACACACTCTTACTGACACATAGCGGCTTGGATTGAGGAATCGGAGAATCGGAATCCGTTACATTCACTTACGTGCTAATACCCTTGGGAAAGGTATCAATCCTCTTCCTCTCCCTCCAGCTATGGGTGAAATAGCAGGACAGACTGGGTTCTATAGCCTCGGATGGCAACTGGCCTAGGAGAATGACAAGTCTGAATTCAAAACCTGCGGAGGGTCGTTTGGGAACCTTGTGGCATTCGCTGCACCAGGTCTCTGTATTCGTCCCTTCAAAAAGTGTGGATGGTCCTGCACGAGACCTTCACCACTATAATCAAAATCTCATGTGCCGGTGTCGGGCTGTCGGTTTCCTAGGAACTGATCTGCTTGACCCTCGTACGTCGAATTCGACGGGAGAGTCGATTATATAGATAGATAGATAGATAGATAGATAGATAGAAACATCTTAGAACATGTAGAGTGTGCGATGGATAAATTGTCGTCTAAGTAAAACAAAAATGAAGAGCACACGGACATCTCATTTTAGCAGATATATTTACAAAAATTGCACTGAATTATCTTTACATACTAAAAAGTACATTTCTTCCATAAAATCGTCATTGGCTTCAGCAGTGGCCTCCAAATGACTTCGTAACCTCCTGCACCTCTTCTGGACGGTCTCCTTGTTTAAGCTGCTCATTGCTACCATAAACCTATCCTTCAGTTCATCTTTGGTGCTAGAACGAATTTTGTTGGTATCTCGCTCAAGGCGTCCCACACACATAATAATCAAGTGGGGGTTCAGCCTGAGTAGATAGGCGTCCAAATGTGGTCATTAAAATTGTCTGAGAACCATGACTGAGTTCTCCTGCTTATTTGGCTTCGTACAGTTTCCTGTTGCCATACATAGTGTCTTTCCTCAGCCACCCTCGTGACCCAGAGTAGAACTACCATCTTAAGGCACTTGGTGTAGGCATTCGTATCGAGTCTGACTCCCTGTGAGAAGATGAAAGGAGGAATAGTGATCATTCCAATCACCATGCTGCACTGTCCTCGGATTGACATACAAAACACTCTGAAATATTCGTATTGGAGATTCCGGAGCGAATGCCAACCAGAATAGCGTTACCTTTCTAAATTTACGGCGGTGTGAATTGCGTCATTGTTCACTTCTTCTTACAGACGGTACCCATCTAACCTTACTATACCACGCAGTCGACAAAATAAAAAATAACGGTCATGCGCGAAAATAAAAATATAAAATATATCCATCGCACCCGATAGATAGATAGATATGAACATAAATTTGATAGATAGATAGATAGATAGATAGATAGATAGATAGATAGATAGATATGAACAGGTTTAAAGATATAGAAAGATAATTATTAAAACAAAACATCTTATTAAATAAGATTTAAGATAGATAGATAGATGTTTACATAGATGGATATTTAAATAGATATGAACCGGTTTAGATAGATAGATAGATAGATAGATAGATAGATAGATAGATAGATATGAACAGGTTTAAAGAGATAGAAAGATAATTATTAAAACAAAACAACTTATTAAATAAGATTTAAGATAGATAGATAGATAGATAGATAGATAGATAGATAGATAGATAGATAGATAGATATGAACAGGTATAAAGAGATAGAAAGATAATTATTAAAACAAAACATCTTATTAAATAAGATTTAAGATAGATAGATAGATAGATGTTTACATAGATGGATATTTAAATAGATATGAACCGGTTTAGATAGATAGATAGAAAGATCGATAGATAGATAGATAGATAGATAGATAGATAGATAGATAGATAGATATGAACAGGTTTAAAGAGATAGAAAGATAATTATTAAAACAAAACATCTTATTAAATAAGATTTAAGATAGATAGATAGATGTTTACATAGATGGATATTTAAATAGATATGAACCGGTTTAGATAGATAGATAGATAGATAGATAGATAGATAGATAGATATGAACAGGTTTAAAGAGATAGAAAGATAATTATTAAAACAAAACATCTTATTAAATAAGATTTAAGATAGATAGATAGATGTTTACATAGATGGATATTTAAATAGATATGAACCGGTTTAGATAGATAGATAGATAGATAGATAGATAGATAGATAGATAGATAGATATGAACAGGTTTAAAGAGATAGAAAGATAATTATTAAAACAAAACAACTTATTAAATAAGATTTAAGATAGATAGATAGATAGATAGATAGATAGATAGATAGATAGATATGAACAGGATTTGATAGATAGATATGAACAGATTTAGATAGAAAGATAATTATTAAAACAAAACATCTTATTAAATATGATTTAAGCTGCAAAGATAGATAGATAGATAGATAGATAGATAGATAGATATATAGATAGATATGAACAGGATTTGATAGATAGATAGATAGATAGATAGATAGGTAGGTAGATAGATATATATATATGAACAGGTTTAAAGAGATAGAAAGATAATTATTAAAACAAAACATCTTATTAAATATGATTTAAGCTGCAAAGATAGATAGATGGATAGATAGATAGATAGATAGATAGATGTTTACATAGATATTTAAATAGATATGAACAGGTTTAGATAGATAGATAGATAGATAGATATGAACAGAATTTGATAGATAGATATGAACATATTTAGATAGATAGATAATTATTAAAACAAAACATCTTTTTAAATATGATTTAAGCTGCAAAGATAGATAGATAGATAGATAGATAGATAGATAGATAGATTTGAACAGGATTTGGTAGATAGATAGATAGATAGATATGAACAGGTTTAGATAGATACATAGATATTAAAACAAAAATATTCTTAGTAAATAAGAATTAAGCCGGTGAATGCATATATATCTTTAATAATATTTTTGAATATCCAGGCCGGTAGATGTAAATAAATATACTGTTTAATAAATAGTCGGAGCACTTAATGAAATACGGGTATCCACTGAAAATAACGTTTAACTAATAAAGTCTGTCGGATTATTAAATACAAAATCCATTACATCTTTAGAAATTGCTTTGTTTATATTAAGATACATAACTTCGCAATCGCCGTTACACAAGACGATTTTAAGCATCCAGCTTAACAAAGAATATCAACATACAGACATAGGAATTTTAAATACAACACAGGCAACACGTCGCTTCTTGGTAATGAATATCAAAGTCGAATGTACTTGATCAAAAATAAAATATAAACTTCGGACAGTTTTTCTACAACATAATACTCAACATCTTATCCGAAAATTGGAAAAATATAAAGAATTAAATGTCTTTAATTTAACTAGAAAATTAAATTCGAAGCTTTCAGATTCCATTTTTGAAACATGGTTAGAACTGTGTAGCGGATAAACATATTTTAAATCAATTAATTTACAATATTAATGCTCTGTAAATTTACATTGAGCACTATTTTGTAAAAATAAAAATATCTAGAAGAACACCGGATTATATATCTTACTGTTCTTACTTTATATATATATATATATATTGTTTTAATCCTGTAATACGTATGTTGGTTTTACAGGAACGATGATGATATTTTGGGTTACGTTTCAATTGAACAAATATAGTTCAATATCAGAATATTTAAAAGGACACTCACGTCCACATTTACAGTTTAGACAGATATTAATCGAAAATACACCAGTGCTCAATAAAGATAATAATATGTAAAAACTTAAAATTCTAGAAGAAATTTATGTAAGAGAATTGTAACCAAAATATATAGTCAACTAAAAGTATAGCAACAGAGTTTTTAAATGGCTGTTGCAGCAAAGTGCTGTATAAAATATACTAAATTAAAATATTACAATTTCAAAATAAATAATCTTTATTTTTTTTAGTATCTTTAAAACAAAATACATAAGTTGCTTTCCTTGCTGAGAGGTAATAATATTTTGAAATTACAATGTGAACACATGACACATTCATAGATATACTGTCCTTGAAGATTGTCTAAGATGAGAATGAAAGTACTTGTGATAATAAAAATTATTTGAAAGGAAATTTTGGAAAATTTCTAAATTAACGTTCTACAGTCACCAAATAAGTAATTCATGGTCTTGAAAGGATTTAAACTAAAATAAATAGACTTAATATGTCTAAATTATTTAACCGAACATGCTTGAATGAAAATATTCCGCTTAATATACATATGTATATATATATATATATATATATATATATATATATATATATATATATATATATATATATATATATATATATATATATATATAGAGAGAGAGAGAGAGAGAGAGAGACAGAGACCGACAGACAGACAGACAGACAGCGATAGATAGACAGATACACAGATCAATCAATCGATTGATCGATCGTTAGATAGATAGATATGAGCAGGTTTAGATAGATATATATGAAGAAACTTATATATATATATATATATATATATATATATATATATATACATACAAAGAGAGAGAAACAGATAGATATGAACAGGTTTAGATAAATGGATAGATATGGAGAGAGTTGAACAAGTTTAGATAGATTGATATGAACTGGTTTAGATAGATAGATACTTGAATGAAAATATGCTGCTTATATATATATATATATATATATATATATATATATATATATATATATATGTTGAAAGAGAGAGAGAGACAGCGACGGATAGACAGACGCATAGATCAATCGATCGATCGATCGATAGATAGATAGATAGATAGATAGATAGATAGATAGATAGATGATGACAGTCAGACAAACACGCCCATCTTGATTGACGGGAAACCAGATTAGTCGGAAGAGGAAAGCTGGCCGGAAAACGATCTTTTGCTCAAGATTCAAGCATTGCCTGCCTAGAAATAATAATCTAAGAATAGAGTTGCTAGACACTTCGACAGCCATGGAATTAGTCATAGACCGACGTCAAAATTCATTCTTTGTTTAGACAAAGGTTATCAAGTACTCGTTATCAATTGACGCTTCCATCATCGAACCAATAGATTACCTGTGGTCGTTCGTTTTTTTTTCTCTCTTATAGTCGCCTCTTGACTATATCAACTTTTGTCTGTTAAAATTGTATTTTACACACCCCTGTACACCTACACCAACATCTGCCCAAACACACACAGAAACGCATGCACACACACACACACACACACACACACACACACACATATATATATATATATATATATATATATATTTACACACATATAAACAGATATAGTGTGCGATGGGTAAATAGTCGTCATTTTAAATTTTAAATTTTGTGGATGCGCGCTTTTTTTGTTTTTTTTATTAAAAACCAGCAGAGTATTGTAGGGTCAGTTGGGCACCTTCTGTGAGGAAAAGAGCACACGAACATCTCGGAGTGTTTGGTGGCAATCAATGCAGATGATTCGAAAAGAGTTGGCGGAGACTACTGGTGATCCCATAGGCGCTTGGAGTGACCACTAGTGATGGCGACTCGGACTCAACAGGTAGGCCAGTATCAAGTGCCTTGAGGAGGTAGGGTCAAGAGGGTGGCTGCTTGAAGACCCTATGTCTGGTAACAGAACTCTGCTAGATTCGACACACGCAAGCGAACCCGCTACTTGCTGTCAGACGACGTCTGCGACCACATCTCCCTTTACATCTGTCTACCTAACTGGCCAGACTTCAACCATCTTGATTATTATGGGTTTGGCGCAGTTGAACGAGAGACCAACAAAACTCCTTGTAACACCAAAGATGAACTGAAGGCAAGGATTATGGTAGCGTTCACCAAATTAAACAAGGAGACCGTCCAGAAGAGTTGCAAGAGATCGGGGACCGTGATTTGTTACGGAAGCTATGATGACCAACAAAATTTCCTTTACTGAGAAGGTTTTCTTGGCTTTTGAACTCATAAAATCGTTTATTTTCCATTTAAAATCATCAGTTGATAAGACACCAGCAGTGTTGAATATAATTGGCATCTTTTTTGGTCATCTTATAACCTTATGAATTTGAATATAAGGTATATGTATATCTTATCAATTTGATTAAATATTGTTATCTCTGTTTGGTATGGTGTACTCTTTTAAGAATATTGTTTTGGTTATTGGAATTTTATTCCATGTGTACCAACCCTGTACTGTGTATATATATATATATATATATATATATATATATATATATATATATATATATATCTCTCTCTCTATATATATATATATATATATATATATATATATTACCTTTAGTGATTTAAACAAAAATATTTCTTTTATTGTTGCCATTTTTCCTCGGTACTGGTAAACAAGCAATCTCCTATTTAGTACCACGTACAGAATGAATAATATTTCCCAAATTCGCATATTTCAGAATAAGGACGTGGTTATCGATTTTAAAATCAAATTCTTCTCCCATTTTTCATTCATAACGAAATTATATATGCCCTCTGACCAATATTTGAAATTTACAAGACATGTCTGTGGCTTGTCGCATAATAAATTCTACCGTGTGTGTGTTTTTTTATTTTGCAATAATGATCACTCAGTACAAGGCCTAAGAACCACTCGAGGTAGAAGGTTAGACGAGTATATGTGGAGAAAATATCTGTTGCCCGTGGACTCGAACAGATTAAGAGTATAGGGCTCAAGGAAATATCCGGGTAGAAACAGCTCGAGTGTGCAACATGAAGGGAATGAAGATGGTTCGCTGCAATGTAGGTGGCATGGCGGATCTTAACTGTGAAGCTTAGAATTGGTGTAACAAAGAAATGTAGTTTACCTGAACTCTGTCCATGGAAATAGCGAGAGACTTACCAGGTTTCTTCTGTGCGAAAGGCTGTGGAAAATAATTCATCACCAACAAGGCCGCGTAGACACTTTTGGATTTTAACAAGATGATCTTTTCTTTTCGATCGCAATTTAGATATGTAGTTAATCAAATATTTTCTATGAAAATAGCAATAGAATAGTTAGTGGCTTGTAATGTTTCATTTGTGGGAAAGTGGTTGTAGTGTGGGAAATAATTAATCACCCAAAAAGCTTCGTAGAAGCTTTTGGTCATTAACATGACAATGTTTTTACTTCGAGTGTAGCTAAGGAATAAAGTTCATTTTAATATTTTCCACGGAAATAGCGATAGAGTGGCGAGAGGTATGCCATGTTTCGTCTGTCGGGAAGAGGTTGTAGGGTGGGAAATAATTCATCACCCACAAGTCCGCGTAGAAAAATTTGGACATGGATTAGATGAATACCCTATGAAGAAATAGAGTGATTTTGAGCATCAGTTGCTGTTAAAAAAAAAGGCAAAAAAAATTTACACAATGATCCAAGATGTGGCTTGTTAAAAACACAAAGGACTCATATAATTGTAGTCCGTGTGGTAACTCTGTTTCGCCCGGAGCGATGATTACGATTGCAGCCGATAGCAGAAGGACCGATTAAGACTAAAGGGACAATGCGTTAGTTTCTAACAGTGGATTCATAAACGGGCAACATTTTCTAGCTGTGTATACCCAGTATATTAACAGTTTAATTCCCGAAATGACCACATTGTGTCCTTGGGATAATTGGTCTGGGAAACACTTGTACTAGAGCACGTTGGAAAATATTCCAATTCCATTTTCTTGAGACGCAGACCCGGTGAGTCAGGCGTTGTTGAGCAGTGGAGTAAGTTATACGACTTTATGTTATACCGCCATGTTATACATGAAATAGATACCGCCATGTTATACATGAAATAGATCTAGAATGGCCGTCTAACATCAATTTCTGCATGGTAATGTTTGATAGTGAAATATTATTAGTGTTTAAAAAGGGCTTATAGTGAATACGCTTTGAAGAACTAGAGTGATTTTGAGCATCAGTTGCCGTTCAAGAAAGGGCGTGAAAAATTTACACCATGATGCAAGAAGTGGCTCGTTAAAAACACAAATGACTCATGCAACTGTAGACCGAGTAGAAAAATTATGACAGATTATTTACCGAAAAACTTTTTTGCATAGCTGGACATTATTTGACGGTGTCACCTTTAAATTGTTCCCCGTGTGAAGCTAGAGATGATACTATAAATTTACCGTTTTTGACGAAAAATAAGTACAGAGGGACTTCCTGTCACGAACGCCTCTCATAGCGGAAAAATCGGTACACGAACGGGTGACGAACGGCGTCTGGAATGTCGAACATGCAAGCCGGTGACAAGGTGGGCGATAAGCCGGGTTTATCAGCGGGAGAGCGTCAATTACGATGTAGGTTTTACTCTATATACCTCCCTGTTCAAATATGGCTTTCCTTCTATTGAATTTTCATTGTGTTTTGCGTGTGTGTGTGTGTGTGTGTGTGTGTGTTTTTTTTTTAAACAAATTATTGAATAAGCCAACTTATTGTTAAATAAACATTTCAAAACGTAGAGAAAAACAAACCTCGCTGGACAGATTTTAAATGAGACGAAGGCTCCGTTAATCTCAAGCAAAGTCGAGTGGTACTAACAAACAGAAAAAAAGAAAGAGAAAAAAACTTCAAAGTCAGATGATTTTTTTTTATGAAAGCTATAACATCTCCCCTTTTTCACGAACCCTCTATTACGCCATCAACTGCCCACCCCCTTACAATTAGGTAAAATTTAATTCATTAAAAATTTAACTAGTCATTATTTATAATAATGATAATATATTTATAATAATAATATTCATTATTTATTTTCGGAATCTTGTCCTCCTTTTTGTACACTCCAGCTTTAATCAGGAACATGTAGATCTTGGTAAATATGCATTCTTCTGCAAATTAACTGAAACAAAACAAATAATTCCCTTATTATTTACTTTTTCTGTATTTTTCCTTGAAATATGACCCAGGGTAGATGTTAGTATTTCGTATGTTCATTCCACAAAGTCTTTCTTTGCAAATTGACCACATATTCTCGATTGGATTGAATCAGGAGAGTTTCGGGGCCAGTTGATAATAATTTGATTTGCTCACTAGTAAGGGTTACCAGTTTCTGTGTACAGCATTACAATTTTCATATGCTTCCGCGGAGTAACGCCCATATCAACAATGGCCGTAGGACAACTAATCGCCAGTTGAGATAATAGTGTCTATACGGCATGAAAATCTAATGCATTCTCGGATGACGCAATATTTTTCATGGCCAAACAATTTTCATAATACACCCCAAAAGTAGATCCATATCACTGCAGACCACTGCAAATGAACTAACCTGAGGAATAAACAGAAATATATTGCACCCTGTCACTGCAGTGTTACTAAAACTGATGATATGGTAAAAGAAAGGAAACTAAAGCAGTTGTTTCCATTAATTTATGTAACCTGCAAAGGGTTGATAAGCCGTAAAAAACGAATCAAACAGTCAATGAAATCGTGATTAGCTACACAGGCATGTTTTTTGATTTATTTACTTTCTCTGGAGTATAAATGTATAGAAACTACCGTAGCCATAAATGAGGGATCAGTTTATATATTGATTTTAATATAGAATTGGTCCCCCACTTTATATCCACATTATAATTTCATGTTTGTTGATAAGCCGCAGAAAACGAACCAAACAGTCATTGAAATCGTGATTAGCTATACAGGCATGTTTTTTGATTTATTTGCATTCTCTGAAGTATACATGTATAGAATCTACCGTAGCCATAAATGAGGGATCAGTTTATATATTGATTTTCATATAGAATTGGTCCCCCACTTCATATCCACATTATAATTTCTTGTTTGCTGATAATCCGTACAAAACGAATCAATCAATGAAATACTGATTAGCTACACAGGCATGTCTTTTAGATTTATTTACATTCTCTGGAATATAGATGTATAGAAACCTCATTGGACACAAAGTGTGGGATCAGTTTCGGATTATATTGGTTACTTAATACCGAAGCATTTTTTGAGAATAATTATCATTTTGCTAACGAAAATTGCATTAACAGTTATTTGAGAATAACAATGACTTGTTCCAGATACAAGCCTTACTATTTAACTAAATCGTAGAGTACATAGATTCATAGTTTTTCTGTGAGTCGCGAATCCAGCTCGGATTAAATAAATTTACATTCTCTTAGGCCGGTTGCCACCGAAGGCTATAGAAGCCAGATAGTTACCCATAGCTGGGGTGAGAAAAAGAGAATACCTTTCCCAAGGGTATTAGCACGTAAATGAATATTATGGATCCCATTGGAATTCGAAATCAGCTTCCCGATTACCCATTTCGAGCCGTTTTCCATTACATCGCCGTGCCTAAATGAATGTACTTACAGTAATAGTAGTGGGAATATTAACTGTTTTCTCTATAAGGAATCATTTGGTATTCACTCTTAAAACATATTGGTAGCAAAAATACATTTCTCAAGTCCAGTAACTATTATTGCTCTTTCCATTATAAATGGCGGTTTCCTTGCCAACCTTTTGTTTTAGATGGTGTGTAAATGAAGAACATTTTTGGTCGTATTTATTTATTATCTCAAATAGGCACATCAAAAAACACATATTAGATAGGTTCAATTTTTTTTCTATTCTAAATTTTGAGTGAGACGAGGCTAGACGGTTTCAGCCATTTCTGTTTTTTAACACTGACATCTCATTTTAACAGAAATATTTACCAAAATGACACAACATATCTTGAGATATTAAAGAGTAAATTTATCCGATAAAATTTCTATTCGCTTCAAACATGGCCTCCAGACGACTTTGAAACCTCTTGAAACTCTTCTGGACGATCTCATTTTTAAGTCGGTGAATTCTTCCATAATCCTTGTCTTAGGTTAATCTTTGCTGCTACAAGGAGTTTTGTTGGTCCCCCTCTCTCTCAACATCGCCCCACACATAATAATCAGGAGCGGTGCAGTCTGGCAGGTTAGGTGGGCAGATGTAAGGGGTGATGAGCTTGCTGAAATTGTCTGACATCCTGGTTTGTGTGACATGGTCTAGAGTCTCGTTGACAGACATAGGGTTATACAGACATAAAAGCTGTTAGAATAAGTAGCAAAGACATCTTTCCTAAGAAGAAGAAGAAAAGAAAGAAGAAAACAGAAAGCTTTTAGAAGAAGAAGGAAGAGAAAACGGCTTCCGGAAGAAGATAAAAAAGGGAAGATTACTTCAAGAAGAAAGAAACGGAAACAGATTTTAGAAGAAAAAAAAAGTAAGATTTTAGAAGAAGTGGAGGAAACATCTTTCAGAAGACGAAGAAGAAAGAAAAGAAAAGAGCTTCTGAGAAGAGAAAGGAAAAAAATCTCTCAAGTGCAAGAAAAAATGAAGAAAGATTTTAGAAGAAGAGGAAACATTTTGCAGAAGTAGAAGAAGAAGAAGAAGAGAGAAAGAAAGACTGAAAAGAAAACAGCTTCAGAGACATATAAAGAAAGAGAATCTCTTCTAGAAGAAGAAAGGAAAGAAGAAAGATTTTAGAAGAAGAGGAATCATTTTCCAGAAGAAGAAAGAAAGAAAGAAAAGAAAGAAAGAAAGAAAGAAAAGAAAGAAAGAAAAGAAAGAAAGAAAGAAAGAAAGAAAAGAAAACAGCTTCAGAGAAAAATAAAGAAAAAGAGTCTCTTGTAGAAGAAGAAAGAAAAGAAGAAAGATTTTAGAAGAGGAAACATTTTCCAGAAGAAGAAAGAAAAGAAAGAAAGAAAGAAAGAAAGAAAGAAAGAAAGAAAAGAAAACAGCTTCAGAGAAAAATAAAGAAAAAGAATCTCTTCTAGAAGAAGAAAGAAAAAAAAAAGAAAGATTTTAGAAGAAGAGGAATCATTTTCCAGAAGAAGAAAGAAAGAAAGAAAAGAAAGAAAGAAAGAAAGAAAAGAAAGAAAGAAAGAAATAAAGAAAGAAAGAAAAGAAAACAGCTTCAGAGAAAAATAAAGAAAAAGAATCTTTTCTAGAAGAAGAAAGAAAAGAAGAAAGATTTTAGAAGAAGAGGAAACATTTTCCAGAAGAAGAAAGAAAGAAAAGAAAAGAAAAGAAAGAAAAGAAAAGAAAAGAAAACAGCTACTGTATCGGTGCCTTGCCAGCTGCTTTTCTATATTCTTCGAAATCTAAGAAAAAAAATCGCTTCGTACTTGGAACAAATTTGAAATAAAATTTGGCCTCATTCAAATCAATGTTACTCTTTGTTTTGACTTCCGTTAATTTGGGGGCAAATATGTTTTTTTTCCTTTATTCTTGCACGCAGTACTGAATGAATGAAAGTTTTTGTAGAGAATAAAATCTTTGTGCGCTAAAACCCGTCTTCTTTCTCCTCATCGTCTCACAATATTTCAATGTCCTTCGACTGCACAATTTTCGACAGAAATTCTTACCATCACGTGTAGGAATTTCTTTTTTGCATAAGATTTCTTATTACTTAAAAGATTTTACACTGTGTAGTAGAAGTACATCCAATTAGTATCTATCACATATACCTCCAAGTAGTATCTATCACTCATCCCTCCAGGTAGTATCTATCACATATACCTCCAAGTAGCAATATAGCACACATTCCTCCAAGTACTATCAATCACATATACCTCCAAGTAGTATCTATCACATATACCTCCAAGTAGTATCTATCTCTCATCTCTCCAGTTAGTATCTAGCACATATACCTCCAAGTAGTATCTATCACTCATCCCTCCAAGTAGTATCTATCACATTTACCTCCAAGTAGTATCTATCACTCATCCCTCCTAGTATCTATCGCATATACCTCCAAGTAGTATCTATCTCTCATCCCTCCAGGTATTATCTGGCACATATACTTCCAGTTAGTATCTATCACATATACCTCCAAGTAGTATCTATCACATTTACCTCCAAGTAGTATCTATCACTCATCCCTCTAAGTAGTATCTATCACATATACCTCCAAGTAGTGTCTTTTACATATACCTCCAAGTAGTATATATCACATTTAACACCATTTAGTATCTATTACATATACCTCCAAGTAGTACCTATCACATGATGGATAGAGAATACGGCCATTCTTTATCTAGCTAATTTCTTACCGTTACGTTGGAAGTATTTCTGGAGGTCTTATGGGCAGAAAGTGAAAATTCTAACCACTTGGTCACGTGCCTATACGGCTCAGTTTCGAATCGCACCATGGTCGATTTGTCAGGATGAATACTTCTTGGTGTTATCAGTCTGGGGGGTGGGGCGATCCAACCGTGCGGCACATTTGGGAAGTGCCGGAAATTCATACCACGGGTAGACCCAAGCATTGTGAAAGAAATCGGGTAGACGGAACTCTTGGTTTCTTTAGCTAATTCATGAGGAATATGTCATTTTAGTTTAAAATCGATTTCATCATGATACTTCTCTTAAGCTTTGAGAGTAATTATACATTCTTATTGTTCAAATTAAAGTCCAGTAGTGTTAGAAAAACCCTCGGAGAATTCCAGTAAGATATCTTTAATCATTTCTAAGATAGTACGGTTCAGAGCTCAAACTAACAATTAAACATTTTTGCTATCACTTTTATTTTAAGATAAATTTCTATATACTATATTTGTAGATATAAGTTCTCAATACCAAGCATAGAACTGGTGTAAAATTAAAATTTGACACACACATATATATATATGTGTGTGTGTGTGTGTGTGTGTTATGGGACCTTACCCATAATACCATAATAGACTATTCCATACGTAATAAATACTGCGCCTCAAGAGGAAGCAGGGAGTTCAGTCCGAAGTTGGGCGACCGGCTGATCGGTTGAACTCTCTGCCTTCGCGCGGGGAGGAACTCGAACGAGGCTACGCCGAAGGGCGGAGTCTCGTTCGGGGAGGTAAACCGACCCTGAACCTGTTTATACAGGTTCAAAGGGCATTTTTTGGCCGAACCCACGGGCTCGGAGATCCCACGTTAAACCGGCCTTGTGCCACATTATACCCTCCTGGTGGGGGTGACTAAATACCGTTTAGTCTGGTCTGGAGTGAGGTCCGTCAGAAGTCCGTCAGAAGTCCGTCAGGAGTCTGTCAGTCAGTCAGAGCGAGTCAGAGCGAGTCAGTCAGTTGAGTGAGGAGTCGAGTCAGAGGCATTCCGAAACAGAGTCGCGTTCAGACAATTACTACAAGACATTGGAATAGTGATACTGGTCGAGACTACATTGTTCTCCCTACTAAACCTGATTGTTCGTACTAACACTTTCTACTTCTCTGTATATATTCCTGTTTGTAATATATCTGTGTTATTCCATATCCGTGTTCGAGTTCTTCATTATTGGTTCTACCTTGGACCATCACCGTGGTACAAGGACATGGACCATAACAATATATATATATATATATATATATATATATATATATATATATATATATATATATATATTATTTAATATGCGTAGTACAAAACAGAACCAACTTAACAAAATCGGTGATGAAAGACCCACACAAATAGGAGTGTGTGTACAAGTATACAGATGTGTATGTGTGTGTAAGGAAGTGTTAGTTCGTACATCCCCACCTGCCCCTTCTTGAAAGTGCATCGCTACATATAGTAAACGCTACGGTCTTGTCACCAAAATAGAATTACACTTGCTTATCTATGTATGCTCGAACGCATGGATGTGTATCTGCGCCTAATCCCAGATGGTTTAAATGGGTATGTGTGCGTGTGAACTAAAATGCGTACACCTTTATGTATGTATGTATGTATGTATGTATGTATGTATGTATGTATTCGTTCGTAGGAGTGGCATTCCAAACGGAAACGGAGGAGAATTTCCCCCTCCCAGCCCGAAACATAATCAAACACAAACAAGCATAACTAGATCCAATTTTTAAATGGATCTTCTGAATCGAAAAAAAGCGTGAAACCCACGGTCGCAAAAAATCATATCCATACAACTGATGATATATATATATATATATATATATATATATATATATATATATATATAAGCAAATATATGGATATAGATCCGACAGTATGAAGAAAAGTATATACGGAAAAAAAAAATCCTTATATACAATTATGCTGTTTTAATCTTCATATGTTCTTATGTACATCGTCTTTGTCATGTTGTATTGATAATGTTATATTTATGAATATGTCCTGAAGATGGTTTATTAGACCGAAACGTCCGACGTTGACATATTAACATTAAAACAGCATAATTGTATATAAGGATTTTTGTTTGTTTTTTCCGTATATATTTTTCTTCATATATATATATATATATATATATATATATATATGATGAAATATAGTTTAAGATGTGCTATATTTCTGTGATAAAGTGCTCAATATCAGAGATAGAGCGTGTGTAAATATAAAAGTGAACATTGAAGGCGACAGTCTGTTTCATACTAGATGCTATCATCAGGCCACGAGTGCTGTTATTTTTCTCGGCTAACACTTAGAGGCGACAGTCTGCTTCATGCTTCTAAAGAGTGATGTTATTTTTCTGGGCTAGCTGAGAAAAATAACAGCACTCGTGGCCTGTTGATAGCATCTAGTATAAAACAGACTGTCGCCTCTATGTTGATTTCTATGTTCACTTTTATATACATACATATATATATATATATATATATATATATATATATATATATATATATATATATATATAATGTACACCATTGTGGAAATTAATTGAAGCAACCGCTTTAGTTTCCCTCTTTTACCATACGGTGAGTTTCAGACCTCCTGGAGTGACAGTGTGTAATATGTCTTTTACCCTGGATTAGGTCTGCAGTAATATGAATCTATTTTCGGCATCTATGATTAAATTTGTTTGGCCTTGAAAAATGTTCTGTTACCCGTGATTGCATCAGATTTTTATTACGCCCAGATATTATTGTCTCGAATCTCGATTAGTTGTCCTACGGCCATTTTGACGCTGTGGACGTTACTCCGAAGAAGCGTATGGAAATTGTAACGCGGCACGAACACACTAGCAAGCCTTACCAGTGAGCAAATGAAATTACTATCGACTGGCTCGGAAACTCTCCTGATTTAAATCCAATCGATAATCTGGGGTCAATCTGCAAGGAACGACTTCTTGTAATGGACACACGAAGTACTAACATCTGCACTGTTCCATGTTTTACTGGAAAAAGACGAATGAAATAGTAAATAATAACGGTGTTATTTGTTTTGTTTCAATTAATTGGCACAAGGGCGTACATGTGGCCACGTATAGTACGGCTCAAGTGTTACCCTTTTCGATTTGTCAGGGACGTGTCTTCTTGATATCATCGGCCTGGGGATGCGTTCCCAGCGTGCAGCACTGTTGGCACGTTAAACCCTACCACTGGCTGGCCATGGAATTGTGGGTGAGTTTAAACATGTTACGTGTGATATTTGTTCTCTTTTGTCATTCAATTACCCATCTTCGTCTGAATATAAACAAGATTGTAAAAAGATAATAGCAAGAATTAGATTCTATGTGACAAGTTGTCAGCATAAACCAATTATGAAACCATCAACTATAATTATTTTTAAATAAATACGATGCCAGCAGTTTTCTAAAACGTTATGAGTGCCTGCGTTAAAAAACAAAAACAAAAAAAAACTTGTTTAAGTCTTGCAGAAGTCCTCTTTATTCATCGTTTTAACTTAACTGCCTCCAGGACACAGACAGCCCACTCGACGCAATAGTCGTTTCAACTTAACAAGTCTGATCATAATTTCCATTTAAAAAATATGCCTTCTCTCTTTCCCTCTTCTTTTTTTTTTTACTAATGTTCCCCAACTACAAGATCCAAGAGCCACTCAAGCTAGATGCTTACTGCGTGGTGTTCTATCAACGTAAGAAAGGACAAGAGGTTAGGTTCGTAGGGCTATGCTGAAAAGACAACAGCTAACTCAAGCTTGAAGATGTCAAAATTTAATTCATTAATAAAATTTCGCGTTTGGTTTGGTTTATTTTGTTTTGTGGCATGTCAACATCTCGATGGGTTATTTAATGTCGACAAGATTTTTACAATAGGTTCGTATGAAAAGAATATGTATTCTTTGTAAGAAATCAATTTGTAGGAAATCAAGTTTCATTGATGTATTTTTGTAAAGAGGGTTTTTGTCGAGAGTCAAATGTATTTCTGGTAATAATATCCTTTTTTTTCTTCAATAATACATTGGTGGTAATTTTTAAAGAAGTTTTACTGAAAATGTAAGCAGAGTATACACTTCTACTTAAGATCCGAAAGTGACATTCGGAACTTCTTAGGTATATAATCAAGAAAGAGGGCTTGGAAAATACGACACTCAGAGGACAGACTAAAGGGAAGAAAGACAGAGGAAAGCAACGCATGACCCCTACCTAACGAGTTTGAGTAAATGGATGGCAAAATAGGCACCAGGAAGAAAGATGAAATAA